CGACCCCGGGTGGTGTGGTGGGGGCTCCCTGCCATGCGCCTGCACTGCTGGTCTCTACCTGCAGCGGTAAAATGCCCACCCCCCCCCCACCGCTGGCACTGTCCCCCAGCAGCTTCAGGGGCTGAGCCCAAAACTGCCACTTTTCCAGGCCCCCCCACCATACCCCCGCCGCTTATGCTTATGCTGCGGGTCTGGTTTCTTAGCAACATCTAGGACGTGATTAGTTCAGTCTATTTGTCCGCTTATTCTGTCATGCCACGTTTTCTATATATATTTTAAAGATCTATTTGTGTATATAAGAGCTGGGGTGCAGGCCAGAAGAGTGGGAAGATTCACCAGAGACAGAATGGGAGCAGAATAGGCAGATCCACTGAATACACTGCTGAGGGGAGCAGTGGGGAGACAGGAGAGGCCTGCTGCGCCGTGTGGGTCAGCTCTGGCCGGGGCCTCTGCAGATAGTGTCACACAAAGCTGCCTTACGGAGGCCCCTGATGTTTTCTATATTTACGTGACCGATCTGACTTGTAGTTCACAGGTTCCATTCACAGCACCACCTTTAATTTATAATTACTAGTAGATCCCCCTGTTTGATAGTTTTAAAAACAAAGTACTTGTTTTTCCTCTCTCCAGGCCCAACACAGAGATACGTTCATTGAAGAACGCTATGGAAAATACAACATCAGTGATCCTTTAATGGCTCTCCAGAGAGACTTTGAGGCACTGAAGGAGAAAAATGACGGCGAAAAGCAGCCAGTCTGCACAAACCCACTCTCCATCCTCAAGGTGGTGATGAAGCAGTGCAAGAACATGCAGGAGCGCATGCTGGCTCAGCTGGCCGCTGCCGAGAGCGGGCACCGCAAGGTAGGCGGCGACGTGGTAAAGAACGTCGCAGACTCACTTGGCAGCCGCCAGTTTTCAGAATTCAGCGGCTAGGAGGGCTCAGATGTCGGAAAACCCAGTAGCTTGCCAAGGAGCATGAAGACAAACGCAGGTGACTGCGGATGTTAGCTTTAGGGAGTGTGCCCTGGTTGAGACGGCATTCTTCTTGGTGGACACTCCAGGGCCCTTGGTATGTTTCTTCAGCTCTTGATCATACAGACTGTGGCAACCAGCTGGCCTTTGACCAAGCTAGTACCTGAGCAGAGCACGTTTGGTCATTTACCCAAATGATAAATAGATTAACAGGTATTTGGGGAATGCTGTGGGAGAGAGGGAAAATGAGAGAATGTATCTGACTAGAAACAAGCCAGCCAGTAGATTTATTCTTAGTTGTGAGTTTCATTGCATTTGCTTCTCAGGAGACCTTAAGCAGTCCCTCAGGCTGTTTAAAGCTGTTCTCCCTCACTCAGGAAGAGAGAGAGTTTCCAGGCCTGGCAGCTCCTAGGAAGGCAAACCTGTGTGTTCCCTACCTCATCTCATTGGAATCCTGGTGCTTGTGATTTTATTCCACGACTTGCCATTTACTGCTCAGATTTGGCCTATAAAAGTGGTTAGCTAAAATCTGCCATTTTTTTTAATTATTGGTTTATAGTTATACCCTAAAAGTGAGTGCACTTTGTTGGAAACATTTCATAAAAAATTGGATTAGCAGCTGCAGTTTAATGGACTGTCATTTGCTTTTCTGGTTACCTGCATTGGAGAGCCACCTGCTTAAAACACCTTGGACATATGGCTCAGGTCTTTTCATCCAAGACTTTTCTTTCCCTGCATCAGTTCAAGTGAAAGGCCAGAATGGAGGTTATTAACCGTGGATCAGCCACAGATACACCATGATTCCCCCCGAAAATACACAGAATGCCAAGAGTGCATGCATTTTTATAAAAAATGGATTTTTTTTCTTAGCTTTAATGGAGTTCTCAAAGTTTTCCAAGACCCAGGAAAGTTTAATCTCTGGTCTGGAATGTGTAATCTGAAGGTGTCTGTGGTTTAGCATTAGTAGCCTAAAATTTGGGGTCCTTCACCAGGAGGAGAAAAATAATAATGATGAACAACTATATACCAGAGACATTTTACGGGGGTGGAGTGGGGAGTGGGGTCAAAATGGGGAGGGAGGTAGTGTACGGGACTGTGGTGATGGCACACGGGTGAATTGGTGGTGGGAAGTCCACAGGGATTACAACTGTGATGGAAAAGACATAAAATGATGTAAAAATAAACTATTATAATAGTTTATAATAAAAAAAAATCTCTAAAAAAAACACTGGGGGTCCTTCAAGAAAATCCCCGCAACATCTCTGAGTCAAGCCTTCGGCTTCTGGAGCGAGTCAGGGAGGGCCGGCGTGTGTGGGAACAGCGTGGGCTGGCGCTGCGCATGGCTGTCAGCCGTAGGGGCGGGGCGAGGGAGAAAAGGGATTCGGAATCCCACAAACTCACTGGGGCCTTGCGGCCAGGTGCAGTGTGCACCCCAAGAGCCCCTCCCTCCCGTTTGGCTTGAGTTGTAGGGAGAAGGCAGCAGCAGCTGGCCCCTGAGCCGCCGTTCCCTCGGCAACAACTCCCCAGACTGTACTTTGATGTAGGATTCTGTGAGTGTTAGATTTTCTTAGCCTTCTGTGGAGTGTGCGTTTGTCAAAGGGGAAGCGACTTTGTAAGGAGTCAGGCACTCACTCACCGCAGGACCGCAGGAAGCGAAAGCTGACGGTGTCTCTGCAATGCTCAAGTCACCGGAGGTGCCCGAGAGAGAGCCTGAGAGCATAAACATTTCCAAGAGGCGACTTCCTAACTGCCTTGCTTAATCCATGTGCATTCTGCATACAGGCAGTGCAGAGCAGACGCTCTTCACCCTGCACCCCGAAAGGCCCATGCCACTCCTGGAGTCAAAGGATCAAGCCCGGGGTGTGCTCGTCCGGTTGCGTGAGTCCCGGCTGCCACCTGCTGCCCGGCGGGCTCCTAACTGTGGGCAGAAGTGCGGTGGTTTGGACAGAAAATGACATGGTTTCTCTGCTTAGTATGAAAAATATGTAGAGTTCTCTATATTCTTACATCTTTTAGCCATCTGTTGCGTGCTGACATCCACATTTCTGAATAGCCTTGCTCATTTTATCAGCTTTAGCCACTTATGTTACCTCTTTACCTTAGAGGCGCAGAAATCATTATCTTCCCCCACGTGCTCACGTATAATAGTGACCTCTCCTCCAGCCTTTCCCTCCTTCAAACGTTATTAACACTTTTCACCTACTGGGTTTTTATTCTTTTCATTCTGCTTCTGTAATTTTAGAGGTTTCCAGAAGGGAGAGGAGATGATCTGCATTGTCTTTCCATTAAATTGAAAAAATTAGTTGTTTTTTAAAAGCTGGAAGGAAGTACATGAAAATGTGGTTGGTTTGTTTTTTCATTTCCGTATTTAAAGAGAAATTCATGTCCCAGGAGATTTCTTTTCTCATTCATAAAAATTGTTCATGAGGAAAAATCATGAGAAATGGCCTCTGGGAGGACAGGGCTCTGCATTGCCATCTGGCTAAGGCTCCCTGCAGCCTGAGCACAGCCCACCGAGAAAGTCATCGCCATCGGGAAGAAGTTGTAGGCAGGATCCGCTGGAAATGCCTCTTAAATTCATCGTTTCCTTTAAATCGGGCTTAATCCTTTGACACCAGGAGTGGCATGGGCCTTTCGGGGTGCAGGGTGAAGAGCGTCTGCTCTGCATTGCCTGTATGCAGAATGCACATGGATTAAGCAAGGCAGTTAGGAAGTCGCCTCTTGGAAATGTTTATGCTCTCAGGCTCTCTCTCGGGCACCTCCGGTGACTTGAGCATTGCAGAGACACCGTCAGCTTTCGCTTCCTGTGGTCCTGTCTTCCTTCGTCACTTACACCAGTGTCCTGCGGCTTCCTGGACCTATTGAGCCTGAAGCTTTTCAACCCTGCAGCTAATTAGTTGCCCCCGTCTGTTACACTTTGCGCACATCTCAATAAAGCAGACACCTTCACCATTTCCTCAAACGTAGCATGTGTCTTTCACCCTGCTAGACAGTGTGCTGCTCCCTGAGGCCCTGACGAGGGGGTTTATCTGTTTCTAGAACTATCTTAGATGCTTCCGTAGGCACTTAGTATTTAATTACACTGTTAGCGATTTGTGGATATTTGGAAGTGATTGTTTTTCCTCTAAATTCATGAAAGGTGATCCTTGACCTTGAGGAGGAAAGGCAGCGGCATGCGCAGGACACAGCTGAAGGAGATGACGTCACCTGCATGCTCGAGAAGGAGAGAGAGCGGCTGACGCAACAGGTGATTCAGGTGGGGGGTTCTGGGCAGCCTTTACCTAGAGTCACATTTCTCAAAGATTGTTCTGCAGGATGTTAATTAGTGTTGCTCAAAAAAAGGATTTTGTGGTCAAGTAAGTCTGGGGGCGACCGGATTAAACCAGATTTTTAACAGGCTTCTGGCTTCGCTTGCTAGGCCCCTGCCTGTCGCGTACTTCCGAAGCAGCAGATGGTGAGTCTTCAGGAACAAGTGGGGTATTCTGTGTTTAGCACATTTATGTTGTCATAAAGTCTGTTTTTGATATAGGTCAGTCACTAGCATACTTCAGGGAGCACTAACTTCAAGTCCACGGGTGTTCTTGAAGCCTGGCGAGCATCCTTTTTGCCTCACAACCCAGGCAATAGCCACACATGCACACATGCTTGGAATAGCATTCTCCTGACAGCAGCCATGACCTTTGCCCTTACGGTGACGCTTCCTCTCTTTTGGCCTGGAAAAACTGGGGCGTAGGCCAGTGGTGCAAAGGTAAGAGGATCCACTAGAGACAGAGTGAGGAGCAGAACAGGCAGGTTTTTACTGAAATCCACTGCTGAGGGGAGCAGCAGGTGAGACAAGAGAGGTCTGCTGTGCCCTGTGGGTCACTCCCTGGCGGGGATCAAACGTAGTGATGGCGCTGAGACTTAACCACAGGCCACCAGCAAGGGCCTCGATTTCACTTCTTAACAGGTGTGGTTTTGGCTTTCTAGTTTTGTTCCTCCCATCCACTAACAGGTCTCCAGGTTTGAGCACTTTTGATTAGAAGGGTTCTTTCAGCCCTCCCCCTCGCACTCAATCTCTGTGCTGAAATAGAGTTGAGATGGTGATTGAAACAGACTGCATTTGTGTAGACGATGCAACTATTTATGTTTGTTTCTAAGACCAGATGGAATGATTACTGAAATTTTTAAAGCTGTGTTTTCAGCAGCATTCATGGTTTGTAGCGCTTTCTGTTTTAATTCGTTCTAATCCAGGATCCTAAAACCAAAGGATGGTTCATATTCTTAAACGGCTAACTCTGAGACAGTTTAAGAACTGCAGGTGTCTCCTAAACCAGCAGAGGAAGATTCAGCCCCTGGGTGAGGTGTGCGACTCCTTCAGGAAGATGCTCTGAGCCCCGAGGCATGCGGGGGACAGTTGGCCAGAGTATCCCGCTGCATGCTTGCCTTTCCGTGCATGTCTTTGTTTCCTTACTCTAATCAAGATGTGTGCTGGCATTTTTTTCTAGCTGGAATTTGAAAAGTCCCAGGTGAAGAAGTTTGAAAAGGAGCAGAAGAAGCTGTCCAGTCAGCTGGAGGAGGAGCGTTCCCGCCACAAGCAGCTCTCCTCCATGCTGGTGCTCGAGTGCAAGAAGGCCACCAGCAAGGCGGCCGAGGAGGGCCAGAAGGCAGGGGAGCTGAGCCTGAAACTGGAGAAGGAGAAGAGCCGCGTGAGCAAGCTGGAGGAGGAGCTGGCGGCGGAGAGGAGGCGAGGCTTGCAGATGGAGGCCCAGGTGGAGAAGCAGTTGTCCGAGTTTGACATCGAACGGGAGCAGCTGCGAGCAAAGCTGAACCGGGAGGAGAACCGGACCAGAACTCTGAAAGAGGAGCTGGAGAGTCTGAAGAGGATCGTCAAGGACCTGGAGGCCTCTCACCAGCACCGCGGCCCCAGCGAGCCGTCCAGGAAGCGGGTGGCCGTGGCCAAAGGCACAGCGACGGAGCCTCCCGTGGTCGTGTCTGTGTTTTGCCAAACAGAGAGTGTGCAGGCAGAGAGAACCCACGGGGGCGGCACAGCCTCGGGGCCGGCCTCCACACCGCCTGGCCCGGCCACTCCCGCCTCTGCGTATGCAAAAGCCAATGGCCACTTTGACCCAGAGATACAGACGTCAAAGGAGCTGGCTGCAGGCAGCAGCGTAGAACACCAAGTGCCTCCACGAGAGAAGTCTGTGGCCCAAGACAAGGCCGTGGAGAACGGCGGCTGTTCCGCGGGCCAGGACACCCCGGCCCCAGCGGCCAGTCATGCCCCCTCCGGCGGGAGCTCTCTCTCCCCCAGCAGCACCGCCTCGTCCTCGCTCACGTCCTCCCCTAGCTCGTCACCGGTGCTCAGTAAGCGCTTACTGGGCTCCTGCGCCAGCAGCCCTGGCTATCAGTCCTCTTACCAGGTAGGGCTCAACCAGCGCTTCCATGCCGCCCGGCACAAGTTCCAGTCCCAAGCGGATCAGGAGCAGCAAGCCACTGGCCTGCAGAGCCCTCCGTCCAGGGACCTGTCCCCCACCCTCATGGACAACTCTGCCGCCAAGCAGCTGGCCCGAAACACAGTCACTCAGGTGCTCTCCAGATTCACCAGCCAACAAGGGCCCATCAAGCCCGTCTCTCCCAACAGCTCTCCCTTTGGCACAGACTATCGGAATCTGGCCAGCTCTGCCAACCCGAGAAGCGACACCAGCCATTCGCCCACTCCAGGGAAGGTGTCTAGTCCTCTGAGCCCCCTGTCTCCGGGGATCAAGTCCCCTACCATCCCCAGAGCTGAGAGGGGGAACCCTCCACCCATCCCGCCCAAAAAACCTGGCCTCACCCCGTCCGCGCCCGCTGCCACTCCCCTGACCAAAACTCACTCCCAGGCGTCGTCGCTGAGCGCCACCGAAGACCTCGCAGGCAGCTGCTCGCCGAATGTCGTCGTGGCCAACGGCAAGGACGTTGAGATCCTTTTGCCAACCAGCAGCTAGTCCCCGGAGGGAGCGCGCCCCCTGACACTCCATCAGACTTCACCCGGGAGCTCAGAGTCAAGCCGTCGAGTCAGATCATGTTATTTATTTTGATAGTAGCTGAAACCATCTGTAAAATACATTGAGTGTATTTCAACTTTTTGTATTTTTTTTAAGTAGAAACTGAGTCGTTTGGGTTTTTATGACTCGCATCTTTGTACTAAAGCTAGAAGGCACCTCAAAGACATCTCGAGCTCGACAGTCGCCATCGCATAGCGATAGAGAAAGCTAGTCGAGCACCAGGTGGTGATTTGCTGTCTATTTTGGGACTAGAATCACTCAATACTCTTTCTGAATTATGCAGAAGTGGTTCGTGCAGATTTTTATTCCAGATGAACATGTTTAAAAAGTGCCTGAAATAAGACTGCCATATGAATGTGATTCTGCAGCAAAAACACAAAACAGATCATTTTATTGCAGAAAATTAGATCCTCTGTGAATCCTGAATGTTAAAAACCAACACTGCTTTGACTCCTCTTTTTAACCCAGGCCTTGTGCTGAGAAACAGGGCTGAGTGAGTAGCACTGGAGAGGTCACGGTGGGGAGCGCGCTCACCCCAGATCGGGCTTTCTAGCACCCTGGAGAAACCCTCCTAAACATGAAGCAGTTGGGGTGCTGATTTTCTTGTACTTTTGAAAAATTGTCACCCCGAGTCTCCTGAGTAAGTTCTTGAATAGAGTGAAATCACATCTCCATTCAAAAAGTGTTTTCAGGCATCTGCTGTTGTGTAAGGAACCTCTGATTCCGATGGCTATTACTTGAATAGGAAATGGTTATTCATTCTGTATAAAAGTTTTGCAACAGAATGAGATCTTTATTCTGTAATCTAAAAAGCAATAACAGAAAATTCACTCTCCTTGTAATATTATAAATCAGAATCACATAGGTTTTACTAAACTTATACTTACTCTCTAAGCTGCCAGCACTTGGTGTCTATATCTGTGGAACCAAATTAACTTTTGCCTAAGTGGAAGTATAAATATATCTGTATAGATACACGACCCTTTGCGTGTTTAACATACACTTAAACACATAAATATTAGTGTGATTATATCTTTGGAGTTTGCAATAGAGCATAAAGGACGAGTAGAAATGCACCTTCAGATTACCTACTAAAGCAGCTACATGTGCTTGGGACCCAGTCATTCAAGAGAGGACTTTTGTCCATGGGGAGGGTGCAAATTCCAAATAAAGTCAGGTCTTCAGCATCATAAAAAGGAAGGGCCAGATTCCCCGACCCTCCACCTCGCCCTCACCCACACCTTCACCTGGGAGCACCTGCTGCCCCCCCCCACACACACACAAACACACTCCCAGTATCACAAAACTCACTGGTCATAAAAGTGAGTGAAATTCAGCTGCATTAAGACAGCCGGGCATGGTAGAAGCTGCAACAGGCTTGTCATGCCCAAGCCCCACAGAGAAGAGCCACACCCTGTCCAGCCCTGCTGCTTGACACAGTGCAGGAATCTCAGGCTGGGGCTTCTCACATTTTTATGAAACCCAAATTTTCATGAGAGACATGCCATTTTTAAATGTCAAGAACTGATTCAAAAAATTTTAAACTTCTGGTTAAACAAATACTTCTGCAGCTGGCTACAGTTCATGAGCTGCCAAGTTGCGACCTCCTTCATTCTAGAAACTTCTCCCTTTGGCACAGACTGTCAAAGTCATGTCAGCCCTGCCAACCCATTCCATCAGAGTGAGTCTCTGAGGATAAATGCCTCCAGGCTTTGCAACTTACAAGCTACTACCAAGCGCTTAGAATATGGGGATGCCCCCCCCCCCCGCTTCTAAACAGCCCTGTCCACAGCCCAGCGTAGGCAGCGTGGCTACGTGGTCATGTGTCCACAGCAATGCAATCATATAAGGGGTAGGGAAGGCCTCCTGCTGTAATTTCAATATTTTTCCTCTTAATCCCAACATGGGTTGATGGGAGAAAGGCAGGTGATTGAAGTTGGTTCCATAGATCACATAGGTTCACAGAGATCACAGGAGGGTGCTGGTGTCTCCATAATACATAAATCAAATTCTGCTTAGCTCCAGAGATATCTACCAACATGCTGAAGATGGGATCCTAAACCAAACCAGTCTTACACTAAACTACTCCACATGTAGCCAGCTGAACGGTGTTGATAAAATAGCTAAACCTTCGAAACAAGAAAACTGGCTATAATCCAGAGTAGCATTACCTCTCTTGCTTTAAATGGTAATCGTAAAAGTTGCATTGTGCTCTTCCTTTGTTTTGGCATAGATATATAGAGAGAGATTATAAGGAAGTTTATTTCTTAGGAAGTGCACTGAATAATGTATTTCTTTTACAGTGTAATATGGGGGTGGGGAAATGCAAAAAAAATATGTGTATTTTTGCTAGTTGCCTATCTTCTGAGATAAATAAGCACAATATTGCAATGGATCCAATAATCCAGTTAGGTATTATAGATTAGTATTTAAGTTTGCTGTAGATTGTGTGTGTGCTAAGTAAAGAGTTCCATGATTCACAATTTTGGTATTAACTCATGTTACGAAAGCTATGTTACTCTGTTACGGGACAACAGATTATAATGATGTGCAACCTAACACAACCATTAACTAGTTAACATTTGTAAAGCCACATGTACCATGCAAAAAGTCTTCATCCATTTTTATAGCAGAATACATTAAAACAAGTTAATCACATCGTATGGGGGAAGAAATAGTCTTGTTTGTACAAAGCAAGAATTAACACCCAAGCACTGTTTTCTTGGGCAGCAGCAGGTGGTGCTGGAGGGGACATTTGTAAAGAAATCAAGCCAATAACCCATCCAGGCAAGACCCCAGAAGGAGCCAGGACCTGGTCTTCCTTAGAACCTTAGCACTGGAAGCGGCTGTCACCATAATCCAGCCTGTGGTTTGATTTTATTTTGTTAAAGATTTATTCATGCATACAGAACTGGGGCACAGGCCATAGGGGTGTGGATGGGGTGAGGAGATTCACCAGAGACAGTGGGGAGCAGAACAGGTCTATTGTCTGAATACACTGCTGAGGAGAGCAGCGGGCGGTCAGATGTCGTCTGTGCACTACCAGGGAGGGCCCCAGCTTGTGATTTTGAACCATGTGGGGGTTTTGGACCTTTGAAGCATCTTAAGAAAAGCAGGCTGACTCACTCTTCCCCCCCACCGCCATGAATGTTTATATGCAAATTTTGGTTGATGGCGTTGCGGTACCCAAAGACCCTGAGGACACCTTGGTTGCTCTACTGTTGCTTAAGAAGCCCAACCGGCCTTCTCTCACTTCGCAAATGCCTCCTGGCGCCCTTGCCTCGGGTCCAGGGCTGCCCTGTTACACTGTTAGCAAATGGAAGTTGTAGCCAGACAAAAGCACTTGGAAATCCTTTCATGTACAAAAGATGTTCCCACTGTGACTGTTTACATAGCTTTAGTTTCCAGCAGTTAAGCCAATGAATGATCATTTCAACAAACACTGGGTATTTCTGTTTTCCTGTCAGTTTGCGTGTGTGATTTACAAAGAGCGCTTAGTCCTTGAAAGAGAACTTCAAATGTCTTGAAATTTGTTTCTTCATAACGATGGGTCAGAGGGAAATGATGAACATTGTCTTGGGGAGACTAGTGGTCAATCTAGGTGCTGTCAACCTCGTTGGAAAGACCTGCGTGCCCGCCCCCCTCTACCTGCGTGGTGCTGACCAGTGCGTAAAACGGAAAACAGTAGGTCATGGTTCTCAAACCTGACGCTTCAGTACCCTGAGAAGCCTGTTTAAAATGAGGGTTTGGGGCCCTCCCTGGTGGCGCAACGGGCTAGAGCGCAGCACTCTGAAGCTA